CGGCAATATATTGCAAGCTGAGTATCGAACTAGTTCAACCAAAATGTATTTTGATATTTAGGTGCGTAAAATACGAGGCATATGTATTCATTATGTTCAGTGCGTAAAAGTAACGTACGCAGTATAGTACTAACCACCCAAACCGTACATGTTATGAATAAATTTATTTAAAAAATTCCGAAACGATTCATTAAGTGGCTTGTGGCCCTCACTAAATTAGATGGACATATGAAAATGCGAAAATGCTCTTCTAGAACAGTAGAGAAAATATCGGTTTCTGTTCGTGTTGCTAGATAATGGAATGAGTCACAAATCCTTCGATGAGCCTTTGAATATGTTTACAAAAAAAAAAAACACTGCACACCTAAACTCGTAGAGTTGCTGGTAAAAATTGATGATCATGCAGTTTCTAAAGCAAGGTGATTACGTTATTAGTCTTCTAGCTGACTTATATAATCATGCGCCCGCTAATTGTATTTATGTAACTAGTTCCTAGGCCTATAAGGCTTTATAATTACTGAAAATATATAGATAACGTATGCATTATATTTGCAAATAACAACACAAACGACGCAAAGAACGTTTCGCTCTGAATGCACTTTTCTCAGTGCGAAGATGACGTGTACTCTATAAGCAGAGATAAATAGATAGCAAGATATTCCAACATTTTGTTCGAAGTACAAAGTAGTAACATGTCGGGAGCTACTGCTATTAATAACAGTAGTGCCGCTGTTAACTACGAGATATTTGACTTCTTGATGTTTTATTTATTTTCATTATTTGCAAGGGCAAGATTTCTTTTCAACTCTTACACTTTGTTATGCAAAAATCCTATATCACAGATTAGCTAGATGTGTGTGAGGCTCTTTTTATACTGAGCATACCTTAACCTAACTGATAAGTCTACTACTTACCTAAGAGATACTATTCGAACTGGAGGGAAACGAGGAAAAGCACATATATATATATAGATGTGCCTTCTAAGTGACAACACCCAGTTATTTATATCATTTTATGCATGTAATGACTAGAGGTTGAGAATATTAAACTAAACACGTTTTTAATATTAATTAAAGCAAACTATTAAAAACCGACCAACAATATTCTAAAAAGTTCCAAACTTGCTTATCTTTCGGAATTCCACGTTATGCTAAACGCCGATTACACTTTTATGCAAGGGCATACTTTTCAATACTGCCCGCATAGTGGGTGAGGCCAAAATCATACACTTCTTCAGCAAGCTATCTGTGATTTTTTCTATTTTAAAAACACTCTTTTAACAAAGTGCTCATAGTGATGAGAGGCTATTCAAAAGAGATTTCGCTTCTTTTTTTGCATATTTATTTTATATGCGTACATATATAAATTACCAACAACATCCATAGCTATATAAACATTTCAACTATAACTATAAGCTGCCTTAATTCAGAGACAAGTAGATTATATATAAGCAGATATCAAAACATTTTGAAGACAAAATGCAAACTAGAAAAATCTCACGCACTTGCGGTGTTCTGCTATCAATAACAACAGTAGCATCGCTGTTAATTAGCATTCTTAAATGTGTGTCAACCTATGATGAATATTATAGCGCGTAATCATCTCAAAGAATCAAAACTGCTTTTGCAGTTTAACAGAATTCTTACCGACAAAAATAATGCGAATGAAGGAAAGAAAGAAACGAGCAGAGTAGAGACTGGTGCTTAAAAGCGCTGCTAATGTTATTGATAAAGAAATGCCAAAGTATCTAGGCATTCTGACTTTGTGCAAAATGTGAGGATCTACTCGAGAGTTGTTGTTGTTTCTGTTGTCTCTCGTTAATTATACGCACCAATCAAATCATTATTAAGTTTGAATTGATAAAACAAGTTCACTTGCTCACTGCTTGTTAGCCGAATCGAAACGAAATACATCCTAAATTTGCTTTCTTAACTCTCACAAACTTTTCTTTTTTAAATATGATTTTAAAAGCAAATCGTCATATCTTCTTCATATAAAATGTTTGAATAGCAGTTGTAAATGAGCAAAAAAAAAGGTTTGCTTTTCCTTGGCTTTTATGCTGCCATCTATGTTTGAACTCTTATTAACAGAGGTACTGCGCTTCGCTAAGTTAGCGTAATTACTGTTAAGCAAACACAGGGCGCTTCCAAAATCGTGTAACATTAAAAAAATTAAAACTTGTCTTTGCTTACTATAGACAAAGACTAAAAATTCAAAATGCATTTTTAATGCCTTCTTCAATTGGCAATAACAAATTTGAAGTTCCTTCTGTTTTTCTATTAAAGAAACTGGTATAAGTTTTTTCCTTATTCCTTCTGGGACAAGGTCTGGCTACGATTAAAACGAATATGAGTAAAACGCCAAGTTTCGAAAAGTCGTTAGACGAGTGCAAGTAGGTGTTTGGCGAGGATTGCCAAGGCCCGTCGACATCTGCCTCGAGCGTCGAGGAGTGCATGCAGATGATAGACGAGGCTTTTAACGGCCCGTCAACATCACCGCGGGCGGGGCAAATAAGAGAGAATCCGCAGATCCGAACTGAATCTCTCTTTCGGCAAACACCGCCAAACACCGAAGGAGATTGCGGGGAAGAAGTACTTCGCGTTGTCCTCACTATACATGATAGAATAGTGCAGATGCAGTCGACTTTTTATTTAACTCGATTCTAATTAAGAAATGTATACAACGTATTGCTAACTATTATATGATTGTATAAATTCGAAAACAAGTAAAAAATATGATAACAAAAAAAACTGATTGTGGAGAGAGAATTTTTCTGTGAAAGCCATATAGAAGCTAAAAAAAAAAAACACCCGCATATCTTATGCGGTTGGACTAGAGGAGCTACTTGATGCGAATCTGCAAGCCGCTGAAGATATGGGGTTGTATGTCAATCAGCCTCTTCGGCTCTTGTACGTTTTATGTGTTTATGTGTTTCATCACGCATCTGTGAGTCTTACAAGCCTTTCTTGATGAATATTCTCAATCATACCAAAAATATCAAAATCAAAATGCAACATTGTGATCCGCCTATCCGATTTCACATTTTGCTTCCCTAATATCATTTAATCGTGCACTGCTCATTTTCATTCGACACTGCATGATGAAAACACAGAGTTGCGTTTGGCGGCAATGAAAATGTTATGCCGGTAAGTACAAACTTTAGCGGAAAAGCAGACGTCCGATACTCTTGACTACATTTGAACTAACACGAAAATGATTCGCTTTAATATTAAGTGAGACGCTGCCATGCGTACGTTGGGCTTCAGGTAAAGTTCATTTATGCCATTGTACGTACCTTTTATGATTTCCAAAATGGAATAAATTCTACAGATTTGTGTAGAAATCGATTCAAAGTACTTGGTGACGGTACAGTGTACCACGTTTTTGTAATAGCGATGCCTTCAAAAATGCATTGGTAACCACCTTAGAACAAAGCAGAACAACGGACAACACTCAACTTTGGATGTGCGCGGCTAACTTTACCCGACTTCGTAGGATATATACATAGGCAGGGAATTTTTTCTCTTGTATCCATAGTAGTTTCCTAGTAATGAGCGAAAAAACACAAAAAAAACAGAAATATTTTCAGTTAACGTTGTATTGTAGAGAGATTAAGCGGCAGTCATCGCCCGCTACGATGGATATAAGAAAAAACGAATTAAAGAAAAAAGAAGGGAAAACATTATAGTGGTCTACCTCCAATCACCCTACACCAGGTACAAAAATTAATTTAACCATATCAACAATAGTTACTAAAAGTTAATACAACCACTGAAGTGATTAAAAACCTTAACACAAACGTAAACGAAACAAAGTTTTCTTTGATCGTAGCTATAGTGAACGGTCAGTCGATAAAGGGACAAAATTTATCAATTGTTCAATTTATCAATGTATCAGTTACTCTTTCAATTCAATAGAACTGCTGCCAGTCGGAGACTTGTTGGCCGTGCAGTTGTAGTTATTGTAAAAAGCATTTCATCATACAGTATTTATTTTGTGTTAGAGAGTTCAGTCCGCTGCGAAATTGATATTTATTCCTAATTTCAATTGAAATTTTTATAGGTTGTCCTAAGGACAGAATTTTCACTGTACACCTAATGCTCTTTTTACTCCCAAAATATTGATGTAAAAATATATATTGGCTATAAGGCAGTGTAGCAGATTGGCCCTAGATCTAAAAAAGCACCTAAAAAAACTTCGTGGTAGAGTTTTTTTAAGAATAAATTTCGTGCTTGTATTTTGAATAACTCGGGGAATCCCACTCAGATACACATGTGATCGGCATAACTTAACTGAATTGTGAAAAATATAATGCAAAGTTACAATGCATAGTTGTGAGGAGTGAGAATGAAAAAATTCATCAGAAAAATTCATGAAAAAAATTCGCAAAATATTGAAAATCGTGTTAAAACAAAGCAATTCGTATAAAAAGAGAATTAGATGTTCATTTTGTAAAAAACATGAATTGTTTTTATGTTATAAATACGTAAAGTCAATACAATTCTTAGTTTTTTCCCCGCTTTTTTTTAGAAATTACTTGGAGTGCTTTTCATTCTACACGATTTTTCAAAGTTTCAAAGCTGCCATATGTCGCATGTATTATGCGCACGATTCTATTGGATGATTTTCTAAAGAACGTATCAACCGCGTAAAAACAGAGTTCGGTGTATGCGTTTGCTACGATAGTTTCGTAGAGTAGCATCTGTATTACTTTGCATGGATTTAAGTGGCAAGATTTGCAGGAGTCTAGTACACGCAATTTGTTACAGGCACATACATCCTATTGGTTTCCGATAGATGTTATCTAAGAAATTGTACTTTTAATTTTACTTTTTCTCATTGCACATCTATCAATTGTAAATTAAAATCACTTAATAAGATATACATAAGTATATTTATTATTCATGCACTTATCAGAGATAAAAAAATTGATTGATTAAAAACTCTTCTAGGGCAATCTATTTAAATGAGTAGAAACTAACTATAGATTCAGTTCATTTTAAAACTTTCAAATTGTATTGTTGTAGTCAATCAAAAATGCTGAAAACGCTTTTAATACTTTGCGGTTCTCTCCTTTTGTGCGAGGGAGGTTTGGTCAAAATTCCGCTCATAAAGTTTGTAGAGGAAAAGAATCTGTCTCATGAGTTACAAAAACTGCAAATTAAATTTAATATAACCGATATTGCGACAATGCCTCCGAAATATCATTACCTTGACTTTTCCTTTTACGGTAAAATTACAATTGGAACACCACCACAAGATTTTTTGGTCTTATTTGATACCGGTTCCCATTTGTTGTGGGTACCTTTGAAAACCTACACCTTGGATAATGAAGATTTCGGACGTCATCATCAATATGATCCTGAAAAATCGCAAACCTATCAACTTAATGGCCAACCGTTTTTTATGATATATGAAAGCGGCTATTTGTCGGGACACTTAGTCGAAGACACGGTATCGCTCGCAGGTAAAGAGATACAAAATGTTACTTTCGGCGTAGCGACATATCGACCGGATGCCACTTTTCGTTATGCTCCCTACGATGGTGTTATGGGTATGAGTTTCTTTAATTCGTCTCTTCATTATGCGCCACCAATTTTTTACGACCTAATGAAACAGCACAAGCTGGAGGAAAACGTCTTCTCATTCTATTACCTACGTAATGGTAGCACTCGTCTAGGCGGTGAGCTAACATTAGGCGGAATCAATCCTGATCATTTCGAAGGTCAACTTCATTATGTGAACATTTCGCGTAAATATCATTGGCAGTTTGAGGTGGAATCAGCTCATGTGAATAAAATACAAGTATGTAAGAAATGTCAAGTGATAGCCGATACGGGTTGCAACGGTATCGGTTTGCCTAGAGACGATTATCATAGAGTAAATCGCGCTATAGGTGCGACCATTGATCCAGAAACATATCAATTTGTGGTAGATTGTAATAAAATTAATCAATTACCAGAAATCACTTTCAAAATCGGTGACGGCATATTCACATTGAGCGGTCAAGATTACATTAAACGTCTGAATAACCGATGCGTTTCAGGTTTCCACAACATCGGTAGCGCCAAGTTTTGGATTTTGGGTGATTTATTCATTGGAAAATACTATACGGTGTTCGATTTTGACAAAAGTCGCGTTGGATTTGCTAAAACTAAACAAAATATTCAAATAACAATTTAACATACAAATATAAATAAAATCAAATTAAACTACGCATAATATATATATATATATGTAGAGTTCTATTTCGGCAATAATCAAGCTTCCATCTCCAAAGATAATGACTGCTTATACGAAGATATATCCGCCTGGGTGGCCGAGTAGGCACGAGTCTCGACTAGCAACTCAGTGGTCGTGGATTCAAATCCCAAGGGCGATAGAGTTTTTAATAAAGGCGAAAGCCTTAAATGCCTAATGCTTTAAGACTTTTAGTCTTAGAATTTATTCTCTGGCTAAATTAATAATAATAACAATATACGGAGATAACCCGTTTCATACTTCGTCTTATTAGGGAAAACGTAATAAACAAAGAAATGAGTTTTATTGTTTACTGTTTGCTATGAACTTGAACTACACGCTTGCTTTTCATTTAATTACAGAAACGTATACGGCATGGCGTACATTTACGCATAACACCCGGCCATTAATTTAGTTTTATATATGTAATGAAGAGTAATTTGTTCAGTTTTTATCATTTAAAAGCAGATCGCTTAGTAGTAGTTTTACATTTATCTTCGATACTTGAAAGTAAACTCAGATCTAAAGCGTAAATGTACATTTCCCATAGGCATATGAAGACGGCATCTTTTCCAATTTTGATAATTTCTCTAAATTTATTAAGCGTCCCTTTTCTATATATTAATAATAAATTATTTTATAGAAATAATTTACAAATATTTTAAATAGAATATTTAACTATATGTAAATTGATTTTCTTTCCTGTACTGTATGAATATTTATTTATATAAAGTCGGGCAAGGCCTAACACGGTTATTCACTCATTTTGATAATAATACACTAAAAGTTATGTATTATTTTCCGGGCAAAGGTATATTATTCATGAAGGCCCGCATATTGAAGGAGTCCTTCTGTGCGGTGGTATATCCGAAAAATAGACCTACTTGGTCCAAATTCGATAAGGTTAATTTCTGTGACAATTTACAGTTACGAACTAATTTTCACAATAAAACTTTAAAAATTATGCCGAAGATACCCTTCAGAGATTCGCTTAGTTTTCCTGGGAATCTCGTTGATGTCTTCTCTTTAATAATTCAATACTAAAAAAAAAAAAAAAAAAATAACATGACCATAAAATGTGCTTACAGGCAATCTGCGTGCAATAATAATAAATGATTTAAAAAAAAAAAAACAATGACTGATATAATATCGATAATATGGCGGCGCATATACTTACTTACTGTTGTATGCCGTCAATATGAACATTACGGAAGTGTTCAATTTGAGTTTATGTTAAAAATGGAAACTGAAAATTTCATTTAATTTTGGCAAATCTACTTAGAAAAATTTAATGTTTGCAAGCTTCAACATAAATGCATTCCGATTGGATTATAATGTCGCTAAAAATGCAATAAAAGTAAAGCAATTTACTTTTTTTTTGTAGAAAAAAAAAATTGTTGTTCTTCTTGAGAGTATTAAAGTAGGAACAATCTAAAATAAAAAAAAAAAACAACAAATTTAGAAAAGCATTGGCGAATATAGTACAAATAGATAAAAAGAGTTTTAATTTACGTTCTAGAATGTCCTGAGGGAATTCCTTGAAATATACATTTTAAGTAAACAGTAAGAACAATGAGAAAATTAATGAAAAGAAAATTTTTCTCCTTTTTTTCTTCTCATACTCTCCGATATAAATCAACGGTTTCCTCAAATATTATTATCCTATAGTTCTTCGAACCAGAAAAAAAAGAACATTTTGTACTTTTTTTGAGGTCGTACAATTGTTGCTTAGTTTGAAAACAAATGCAAACATCTAAATAAATACAATTGTCAAAAAAAATATATATATTTTTTTCAGTCGTAAGTTTCCAGAATTATGTCAATAATATAATCAAGGGCCGTGCCGTAGGAGGATAATAACTCAAGTTATTTGTCCTCGATTGTATAAACATGTGTAGACGTATGAACACCACAGTAACTAAGCTAACTTCCAAATTCAATTTTTTTTTTTTATTTCTCTTTAAAAATGTTTTTCTAAATTCTTAGTCCAATTGTTATGCTTTTGATAAGGTCTGCCAACCGAAGTCTTAAGTAAAAGATTTGCTAACGTCAATTATGATATATAAAATAATTTTCTAAACCTTCGTAATGCAGATGCCCCTTTATTAACCCTCTCAACAGACCCGTTAAGAAGACCTTTAATTGACTCAATAGCCTTTCCTATTCCGTGGCTTTTTTACACAAATGTTACAACGGCCCTGTCAGCTACCTTGGTACGGAAGAATTGGCGTCCGCATTTGCAACATTTATAAACTGGCGAAAAAAAACTCCCGTTAAAGTGCATAATCCTTATATTATTACATTCTTACTTTTTGCTTTAGATAGAAAAGTCCGCCCAAGGTACAAAGTAAGGAAAATCGGGCTTCAAAAGGCGCAAATAAAAGGTAATTCAAATATAGTGAAAGTGTATTAATGAATTTCTTACTTACATTCTCATTTTTTTAGTTTAGATTAAAAAGGAACGATGCGCCACCGCCCACCGCCTCTTATACATCGTCGTATCTTAAGGGTGGCGTGGAAAAGCATGCCAGGAAACCGATACTTTTAGGTAGAAATTCTTTGTTTTGCTAAATTATACTCGGGATGAGATTTATATGCCAGTTGTTTCCAATTAAGTTGTAATCACAACATAGATACGTTTTAATTCTATTGGCTTGATCCATCCTAGCTCAACATCCCAAAAACAAAAAAAAAAAAAAAAAACTAAAGTTCACTGCTAGCATTTTAGGCCCACATCCTAACTAAGCCATGAGAGGAGTAACATGGGGATTATGCGGCCTTCGACGTCGTCTTATTCCTCCTGAATTTACTTTGTTTTTTTTTTAAATAAGATAATAAATAATCAAATTAAACAAGTTTTCTCGTTAAAACAGCTGGGTTCAGACAATCAAAACTATTTTAGGATGAGAATTATTCATTATTTTACCCATCAGCAAGATTCCGTCAAGTAGCCTAAAGCAACGCGCGTTTATGTAGATTTGTTAAGTGTATTTTTCATCGGTCAGCTCGTTTCGAAATTCCAATAAACTGGTGGAAAAGTCCCATGAATCGTGGGAAGCTGAATAATCTTCAAATCAACAAATTTCCGCACGCAGAAAGGTCCTTACTCCGGCACTAGAACGCTGTGACGAGTAAAATATTCATTCACATGGACTGACACATGGATTTTTGCTAAAAAATCGAAGATTGGAGCATATTAAGACCACGTACTATGAGTGTACGCATGCGATAGCATGATATTTACAGTTTACGCTTGTGCCTGCGTTTGCCTTAAGGAATTGTATGTGTGTGTGTGTGTATGCCTAATAGAATTTTTCAAAGTTTGATTTTTCTGTGCTCGACGGTTTATTTTTAATATTTTGGTGCGAATACTTCCCCACAAATAAATTTAACATATTTTTTTGAACTGTTATTATCTTCTTAAATATCCAATTAGCTCGCTATTAACAAAAAAACTGTTGTTATTGCGATTTTTTATCTCGAGTAAAATAGATCTTTTAGGTCGCGACCTCCATTTAGCTTAGCAGTTTAGTTTCATCAAATAGTAATTTTCTAAATCCTGTTTTCCAATTACAAAATTTGGCGCAGAGAGTTGGAATTCTTACCGTTTACTCTTGATACCCTATATCTGAACTATTCGGAAAAGATTAAAAGTTGCACAGAAATCAAAATTTTGAAACACTGCTAAACCGCGATGATTTGAAATGGAATAACAAAGTTTCCAGTCAAAAAATTGTAGAAATACTTCCAATCGACTACGCCTCGAATGCTGCTCTATTCATAAAACGTGTTTTTTTTTTTTTTTTTTTTTTTTTGTTTTCTATTCTATTTATTAAAACCATTATTATTTTCAGTGATATTAGGGGTGTATGTAAGTATGTAACTCATATATACAGATTTTCTATGTGATTCCAGTTTTTTAAATTACAATGATAAGAATGATAAAAAAAATATCTAACAAAAGAAAAAAAAAGATAGAACGACAGAAAACTCCATACATTAATCTCAGTACATTGAGAATCGGTAACCGGATCATTCTTCAGGTGAGAACTAATCCGCTAGTGCGTTGGTCGCATCTTCGGTGCCATTGGCCACTATGGCTACTGCGTTTGTAGCGTTAGTTTGTTGTTTGATTAATAAAAAATCGGGCGAATTACCTATAGTCATGGTTGCCTGACGAGAGCATAGATTTAAAGCTGGTAACGAGCTATTTGAGGAGGCAACAATCGTAGCGACCTGAGCAGTGTTATTACTATTATTTGAATTAATTAAATTATTCGAGCCGTTTGTTGTTGCCCGTACGGACGCCGCTACAGCTGCCGCTGAAGCTCGTTGCTTATGCTGAAACATGGCAGCTACAGCGGCTGCTTGTTGTTGAGTTTGGTGATAAATTTGCTGTTGCAACATCTGAGCATAAACCAAACGCTCATATATGCCTGTAGTAGTTCCAACTGCACCTCCCTGAGCAGAACTAGCACCACCAGCGGTACTTAGAAATTGAGTTTCTTTGAAAAATGTATTTAAATATTGTTGCGTGGTTGTAGTAAGCATTGGATTCGAGTAAAGTATCGCTGGTGACGAGGCCAAAGCGGCATTAGCTAAGCTGTTTGATATGAAATTAGTGGTGGTGGAAGTATGCTGATTGTATACTAAAGGCGGGGCGGTGGGACCAGTTGCCACATAAGTTACTTTATTGCCCAAGAACATACCATACGCGGCGGCAGCAGCAGCATTATTACCAGCAGCAGCGTTGGCGGTTGCTCTGGCTGGTTGTTGAATGCTGTTACACATTTGATAATAAGCAGCTGACGAGGCTGCCGCTGCTGCTGCTACAGCTGCTGGCGTAGCCGAGTTCCCCGACGAGCAAGTTGTACTACAAGCAGTGTTTACTGGTTTCTACAAAAGTATATCAAAAGCGGACAATTTCTAAATGTTTCTAAAATATAAGTTAATCCACTTACCCCCAAATTATTAAGTCCTAATCCTACGTTGTTATTTTCACAGCTCGTAGTTGGGGTGCTAATTGGTGTTGGATACAAGCCATTGCCGAAGTTTGTTGAAATATTACTTGTATTCTCGTTGCCAGAATTAGTCTTATCATTTAATAATGGCAGCAAATTTTCGGGAAAGTCTAAGAAATCTTTACCATAGACGGCGTAATTTTGAGCGGCTTTATAATAGTCCATTGAACCACTAGCGGGATGCCCGGTAGTATCACCGTAAATTGCTCTTTGCACTTCTTGAACATAGGCATTGTTAGTGCTACGGCGGCAATTTAATTCTAATTTATTATGCCATTCGTTTTCTCCTAGTTCAGCAGCGTCATCAGAACTTTCACCGTTCACGTCTGCGCCCTTACTTAGCAAACACTGCCGCCAAATTGGTTCAGTAATGGTGACGTTTGTCTGAGAGCCCAAACTTTTTTTCTGAGGATTAACTGAAAAAAAAAAAAGAAATTGAAAAAGTGAATTGAATTTATTTTGCATAACAATTTTTTGGTTATCAAAATTCATAAAATAAATTTCAAATTTTTTTGCTTTACCTATTTCCTTTGTATTCCAAATCGGAAATTGCTGTTTCAATTTTTTTATGCCTTTAGCTAAAGAATTTTTCGATTTTCTCTCTTTTCTGCACTCGTCGAGCGCAATATTTAGAGCTTTTTCTTCCTCCAATTCGTCCTCAGCTCCTTGATAATCGGTACTGCTTTCATTTTCATTGACCAATTGTTGTGGCAATGATTGTTGTTGCTGTTCTTCCTCTTCTGAGATGATCTTTTGCGTATCATCCTCTTCTTCACTAGTTGCTACAAATTTATAATCGGCATTTAGTTCCATATTTTTTTTTTAGCGTATCAAAGAAAAAACTATAAAATAATTTTTAATATTTTCAGAAAATCTTAAAAACATATATGAAATGTTTTCAATATTTTCAATTTGTCTTTTTAGGTTTTTTTTTTTTTTTTCTAATCAAGTTTTACAGTCCAAAAACTCCAGCATTTCTTCGATTAATTTTTCAGTTTGTTTACTCTGCTGCAATTCCATTATTGTAAATAATCCCAGCATTGTTAAACCCGCGGCATCTGATTGACTTGATAACTTCCTTTTCCTCCCGTCGCGAGTTAATTTCTTTCGTTTCTATTTTGCTTCTTTTCGCTGTTTACTTTCACTATTCAAGTTCTCCTCTCTCTTTCTTTTACTCAATTTTACCGTTTTGTTTAATTTTTTCTCAACTATCCTTTTTTTCGTGCACACTTATTGTTTATTCTCTTAACGCGTTTTCGATATTTTACTGAATTTTTCTAGTCGCTGCTTCTAATTTTATTGAATTTTTGATTTCTTCTTTTTTTTTTTTTAGTTTCTAATTTCTTTACGTGTTCTTAGAGAAACGAAGAACTTTGCTTCATCGCTTTTTCAAAAACATTGGCCAACTGAAAATTTTTGTTATTTTGTAAATTTTTTCTTTATTCGATGGTCAAGTTTTAAAGAGAAACTTTCAAATGCCGTCCTTTTGACGTTTTTTACCAAGGCACGAAATTTGAAAAGTAAAGTGATTACTAATACTAGTAAGACCTTTACCAGAAAACTCGATATCGCAAAGCATGTTATTCAAGGCTATACGAAGCAAACGTTCTCTTTCGAGCGTTTTCGAATATTCATATTTCAAATCTAATAATAGAAAATATGTTATGTTATTCTAAATTTTAGAAATTTTTATTAAAATAATCTCCACCTTTCTTAGTTAAGTTTATTAGAACGCAGTTGGAAAAATTTTATTCGTCTTGCAGCGAATATTCCATACTTGTTTTTTGAAATCATGAAATGGGCGTGTGCACTACTCTATAACGACCAGCGTTGGTGCTGCAAAATATTTGTAATAAATTCTAGATCAAACCATGTTTTGAATAATTTTTTTATTTATTAGGGGCATTCTTAGCGGAAGCTTCAAAGGACCGGTTTATATCATGGTGTAGATCCAGATCTGGGTAGACTTAAAATTACATTTAATTGAACTACGTACTGCGGTGAAATTAATATAATTTGAAAAGCGGTTTGCTACCGTTTTTCAATCACATATTTATGCCAGATTTAAATTTCCCAATAACATCCGAATTTTTGATGTTTTTGAATTTTGCATATACAAAGATGAATGTAATGTACCCTATTTTTGAGTGTTAAGTCTTGGGTAACGTATTTTAAAGTAGTTTTCAAACTATGTTCACGTTTGTGAAGGGTCTTGACTATACAAAGCCCCCATTGTGTTGTGGCCCCACCAGCAAGTTCGCGTCACTAATACACGCTCTAAAATATTATTTTTATCTTTCAGACTTTTACCCGCACCTTTCGACTAAATCCAGTGTCCATTTTGCAAGTTTTAGTTTCACTTTTCACCTATAATTTAGCTTTGGATAAATGCGACCCACCTTTAATCTGATAAATGCATGACTAGCAAAAATCATACATTAGGCTAGAGTTAAACCGTAGAAATTTATCACGTTATGTAAACACAGAGATGTTTACGTTAACGTATATCAAGAAAAATTTGCGATAAACTTACAAAAAATGTTACGAAATTTCTATAAGTTGTACGTTACTTCTTCTTTTTTTTTTGAATCCGCAATACTCCTTTGTAAGCTTATTCTGTAGATGTAGATAATGTCCCAGTGTTAATTCTACATTATTTACGTGACTTCATAATAAAATATATTTGTCTTAAAAGATGATTAAAAAGATTGAGTTAACTAAGCACTACAAGAAATGCAAGATAAACAAGAACTGCAAGTCCACAACCATATGTATAGGAACACAATCGATAGGGTATATACAAGGCCATGCCGGTTGTAATCTTGACTCTTAGACTCATAACTTAGTAATCAATTTTGTAAATTAACAGCTTCAACTGCATAGACATTACTCAACGTCTATATCTATCAAAACTATAAAAAAGAAAACTTGTATAGAAAATAATGCCTAGTTGCTGAGTTCGAAAGGAAAAACAGCTGTGGGGAAAGCCTGGCAGTTGAATTCGAAATAGAAATGAAAGAGAGAAATGATTTAAAATTGTACAGAAAATAATAAAGGATAAACTATTTCTATTGAACTCTTCTTATAAGTAAAAGAAGCCTATAGATTATACGGAGATTTACCTCTTTTTTTTTTTGGCCATCCTAAGCAGCTCTATTTTGAATCAACGTTGGGAAAATCAAGATAAATACGTTTGCAAGAATCCGTTTTGGGCATACCACAGCAAAGCATCATTAACGGATACTAAAGAAATCTCTCTTCCGGTCATCATCGATATATTTGCCGTTAAATGAGAATAAGTGGTGGGAAAAAATATAATACTTGCTGTTGAATGGGAATAAGTGGGCGAAGAAAAGGAGAGTAAGTTCTTATATTTAAACATGCACTTTATGAATGCTATCTTACTGAGTAAGCAAGTAGATAAGAAACGCGACTACGAAGTCAGTCTTCGCAGGTTCAAATCTCAAGTGCGTAGAATCTTCGTTGGTCGTAGCTATAGTGAGTACTCAGCCGATAAAGGCATATCACTTATCAATCGAGCACACAGCGACTAGGCTCCGACTACCATTTCCATTGTTTCTCTATCCTCTCTTCTTTCTGACAGGTAGGACATATCCCCAATGTGATTACGCATAACGGGAGAGTTTCAGCTTCTTTACTCGGAACTAACGTTGCGAGTCACTGAAAATATATGATCTCTTCTTTCTTTCTTGATCATTTTAGTCAGATCCTTCTGTCTATCCTTCTTTTGTTAGAAGACTTAAAGCGACAATAGAAGTCTAAGGAATCGTGCAACTTGTATTCGAAAAGCATTTTAAATGGAGTTTGGAAAAATTTGAAATCATCATTGGCAACCATTTACACAATATTAATAACACAATAACATAGCCGTTGTCAGAATTGTCGGAAAGAAAAAGATTTTATTCAGAGAACTTTTGTAACAAGACATTGATTTATTTCGAAAGATGTTCACTATCTAGGAATAGAGAAATTATATATTTGGTTACCTTTAAGGACTTTTGCGACACAACACGTGAATGAAGGAAAGGTAAGATGTCAATGTATACACATATAATAGCAAAGTTAAGATAAAAGTTTCTGAAAAGTTTCTGGTACAAATATAATATTTCTCTGCATGTATTCCCAAGTTTTCCGATCAAAATACTATCACTATTATGCGGATTTTTGGGTAAATAGAGTTTATATGTATAAAACTAATTTTCTCTATTTATTGATTCACTTCTACGAAACCGAAGACGAAGGTAATTGGTCAGGGTTAGTAAGGGGAAAATAGATTAAAAACAATTTTTAGGGGCGATATGAGAATAGTTTTGCGTATTCTGACATATTATTATTTAAAAGGCAATTATCACTTGCATCAGTAGCTCTTCATCATAAGATTATCGTTAAAAAACTTGTTGCCTGTTTTCATAAACTTCTTCAATGTGTCGGCTAACTTCTGTTCTGTTTACACACAGTACATTTCATAATATACTTATCTGATATCGTCAGTAATGCTTAAGCCTAATTTGCGTCGCCACTCGATTTCGATTCACTTTTCGATACAAACTATTTGCCTTCTATCTGCGCGAAAAAAACGTCCATCAACGGGAGTAGTAGAATCTTTGAATGGAAAGTTGAGAATTACAATTTTTATTAGAGTGGCGGAAATTCACGCGAACGTGTTCGCGTACTCCTCCATCATTTGCCTATATTCTTTACATTGCTATTGCATATCAACTTTCTTTTCAAAGAAACGCAAAATTACGCAAAACTTTCATAAAACTTTTTTCGCATTGAATTTATTACAAACATTTACAAACAAGTGAACTTAAAGAAAACTTTTTGTTCTTTTCTAGCTTAAAACAAAATATTGCTCAACAAAATTAAGGTCAATATAATATTAATGTCCTTGCATTTCATTTAACGTATTAGAAAACACTTAATTTACTTTCGCGCATATGGCAAAACAAAAGCCTGCACCACACGCAGCAATTTTGCATGCCGTTGGCAAATCGACTAGAGTAGGTGTTGCGCTAAGAGAAGAAGATATAGATGGATCACATGTATAGATATATACTTGCCACTTTTCAAAGAAATTTTACGACTTACATATTGTTAGTGGAATTATTTCCACAATTGCCATGTTCATTCCAACCCCATGTGAAAACATCTCCCTCTTTTGTCACCATTAAACCGTGCTCGGAGCCAAGATGTAAATCAATAGGCACTATGACTGGCGATACTGATAATTGCATAGGTATGGCATGATTTTCAGTAAATTGACCCCAGCCTAGTTGTCCGTAACTGTTGCGACCCCACGATAATACGCTGTTATTCTTAAGTAGTACCGAATTATGAGTCCAACCAGCTGCTAAACGAATTATTTTCTCTTCAAATTGAAAAGCATTTGCTTGACCATATTTATTATCGCCGAATACTTCTACTCGCTTTGAGGCTGTATTTTTTTCTTCCTCAGCGTAATTATCTTCAATCGGGCCCAAATGCATAAGTACATGATTTTGACCGCTTGCTATATTTTTGATACAATATTCCTCGGACCAACGTGAAGCAATTTTGACAACAAGTAGACTTTGTGTAATCTTGACAATGCTTAACATCTCGGATATGTTATCAGAGAGTTTCATCCGTCCGTATATGTAAACTTTCCATTCGCTTGTTAAAATTGCTGAATGTCTCATACCTAAGCTAAAAAGTAATTATTTTCGATTTTGCTGTGAGGTAATATTCTTACCTAGGCTGAGACGTAAGGGGGTATCATTGCCCGGTAATTGAATCTGCATTGGTTTGCGTACGGATGTAAATCCGCGATGACATACTCCCAATTGCTGAAAAGCATTTGAGCCCCAAAGGAACAACTTGCGATCACTTGTTATACATCCAGATGAATCCCAGCCACAAGCCATTAAATCGATAGGAGAATCCTGCATGGATTGCTAGTAAGTTCCGAAAATTTTGCTTATTCTTGAACAAGTCCTACCTTGAAAAATTTCATGGGTATCATTTTAAATTCGCTAATATTATCTTGTGTGATGTCTAAACCTAATTGGCCGCGATTATTCCAACCGCAGGCGTGTAGCTGACCGCAAGCATCTAAAACCAAAACATGGCCACCTCCACCACGTATCGAACGAACACTGGTGACTGTAAATGAATATTTCTTTAACCTTTGCGGTTCCATCGACATTTCTGACTCGTAACCAAGGCCTAGTTGGCCATGAGAATTTGCGCCCTATAAGTAAAATGTATTGTTTAAACTTATGCTCATAAATAATTTCTCACTAAATTTACCCAAGCAAACACAGCCATTAGCACCTAGTGTAAAGCTTATTGAATCACATAAAAATTTATTGCAAGCACCAGTTGCTTTTTTGCACAAATGTTTTACTTATTACGTTTTTTGCGCCTGCGATGCTACAAGCGTGATAGTTTTGCGCCTTTTCACGTTGCCGGCCAAAAAGCAACTGTTCCTTGTGAAGTGTCGTTTGATGGTTTTTAAATAAACTGCCTGCTTAATCGCCGGCCTGTCACACTTCTTGATTTTATCCTTCTTAATATTCCATTTACACGCTAGTATTAGGTTCATTTGCTTAATTTGCATTTTTCGTAAATCGTGATTTCGCTTTTATGAATTTCCAAGGAAATAATACGTATATGTATATATGTATAATAATTACCAGCTGCTTACTAAAGGTAAGTAAATAGTGGCAGAGTTGCCAAAACCGGGCAATGTTGGCAATATGGCTTATCTTATACGAAAGCTGAGATTGTGATAATCAAGGAAAAAATGTTTCAGTGAAGTCGGACTTTTTTTTAGTTTAAACTCATTTTTAAAGGATCGCAGAGACTTGACGAATTGCATAAATAAATTTGAAGTTATTGAATGTTTTCTGTGAGGACAGCTCTAAAAGAGGTGAAATTCTTTATATGATTTCATTGCATGCCCAAAATTATGCTATTTATTTGTTGCGTGCGTGTTTAAATTTCTAATGAATTTCTACATATATGTGCGAGCGTTGCACTTTATTATTTCTTTAAAAAATTTATTGTAAATGAAATGTTAGAAGAAATGAAATTCAAAGCAGTAAATAAAATATATTTACATTTTTTTTCAGTTGGCAGATTGTATTTCACACGTATTTCACGTATTTCTGTTGACAACGTTTATATAAGAGGACATGCGTTTAATTTTGAAAAAATTAGTTCTCGGACTTATATTCATATGCTTTATATGTTGTTGACAACGATATTGTTAGAATACTTTTTCAATTTCATGTTATTGGCTTTAAAATATTGATGTTGGAATGAATAGAAAAATTGCAGGCGCTTTTGGTTTTAAATTTACATAGAGTATAAAGTGTTTTATAAATCAAAACCGAGTAAACCCAAAAACGTAATATGTCCCTTTGGTAATGCATATTCCTTAAAAATGTACCTCCCCTCTTCTTATTAACCTTCGTTGTTAGCACGAACTTGTCGTCTGACGGTGTTGCCAATGAAGAATGTTTTCAAGATGATGTATTACGGAGAATTCTATGCCTAAAATCGAAAATTGAAGGGGGCTAATATTTTTATACTGGTAATCGAAGAATAAGGGCTATATTTATTATGCCCTACACCACTTGGGATGCAGACTACATTAAGTTAGTGCGGACGTATGTGATACCCAGAGGAGCTTAAGGTAGACCTACCTTTCATTACACTGATCCGATTCAGAATCATTTTGTAAATTTGGTTGTCTATCCGTCTGAGGTAGTTTTCTGTTCATGCTGCAGGCGGCAATTTTTCAGATATTTTGATGAAATTAAGTGCACGGACGTACTTTGGCAACGAAAATTATGGCTTTGCGTAAAAAAAAAACTTTTTGATGTATTATTACCAAAACGAGCGAAGTGATGCGGGATATGCAATGGCCGGCGTCACCTGACTATAACGTTCTTTCTTGTTTGGTCCAAACGTTTGCAAAACATAAACACATAAACGAAAGTCTCATGTACCCCATAAAATATCTGCTTTCCTGATTAAAGCATCAAATTATAAAAAAATTTGAGCATGACCGCTCGTCGGTTTCTCTGTCTGTCTGTAAAAGGTCCATGGTAAGCGTTCTCTTGGTCGCGGAAAGGAAACTATCTGCTGCAACTGTGACAGAAACATTGGGCTAGAATGGTCAATGGATACGCTCACAGTAGAACATAACTTGAGACCACCACTGTTCTCAAAAATAAAAAAGTTCGCTCGTTTATTGACCGTTACTTACAAACCACAAGACCAACAGCGATGAAAATGTGTGGTTCCGCACCAACTGTCCAAAAATGGGATAGTAAATCAGAACATTGAAAGTTCCCTTATTTTGCCAAAATAAAGATATCTGCTTCAGCTATACGATATAAATTTCCACTTATGTTTTAAAAACATAGAAAAAATCAGCCACGCCCACCAAGTATTGGTGATGGGTAACAGAAGATAGGGCCGCTGTCGAATATAACTTTGTTTGTTACATCTTCCTATCGGCATTGGTTTTTGTGACGTTTGCATTGCCGACATTACGTTGGCAACTTGGACGACGTCGTCTGAACTGCATCTCAATCAGCTAAGCCAATTAATTTTTCTACTTGCAAGCGCGGAAAGACCGTCAAGTTGACATTTTTGTGAAAGTGTTTTCCGGAGATTACAAATGACTTAGTTAATAACCGAGTTGTACCGAGATGTACGACAACGATGTCTTTGGCAGATTGCTTTCTATATATTTGTGTAAGGCAGACATAGCTGATTTTTATTTTAGGTCAGTAGTTAAAAAATTTCTTTGGTGGGCTCGATTATAAGCAGATGGGCTTCGTTTTTCTCCACAAATTTAAGACTCCTCAAAATTTGAACTTCGATGCTGAGCTACGAGATACTTCTAAAGCAATAACGAAGCTTCGAAGAAACTGCTATCCGTGGCATTTATATTATTTTATAGAAGTAGATGCATAGGCGATAAATGTTATTAAGAGATAAGCTACTTCTCCGTATACCATAACGTTTCTTAGGCCTTTCATGAATCGTGAGCTTGAGCTTTCGTGGACTATTAAAAACCTTGGAAAAAAATAAAGGAGTCATTGCCCTTGTTTTGCAACTAAGGCTACAAAGATACTTTTTTGTGGATTCAGTATCTCTGTCTTTCTCGTCCCCCTTTCTTTTCCAAAATATATGCAGTATGTGTGTTTTTTTCATGTAAACCCATTATGTACAATAATAGATTTATTCGTGTTTTTGGGGTAATGCCGATTATATCGGCTCAGATGGCCTTTTGAAATGTCGTTGATATGCATTTCCGCGATCATTGTAACCAAACGGTTTGAATGCTTCGTATCAGAAAACTTAGTTTGGTCTATTGTTTTAGAGGAGCGGATTGAAGAATATATTTATTAGTGTCTTCACGTCTTAAAGACCCATGATTGGCTTAAGTGCTAACCACAATGAGTACTGACTGAACTTGCATCGCTTGCATCATCATGCGTTGAGATGGCAAAAAAGGTTTGATTACCGGAAAGTTGTGTTGGCCCCCTTTAAAATAAGTTTCGATAAGTATGCGCATACTTGGATCTCTCCTTTTATCACTGAATGTATACAGACTGAATGGGCTACAACGAAGGGGTTAGTATTAGTTCTGTTAGTATTAACCGAGCCGCGATCGTTTGTCATTGTTTACTGATAAAGCTCTTTTACGTCACTATATTTGGTACAAATTCCAATAAAAAAGATGTGCTAGAGAAGCGTGTGCAGAAACCACACTCTGGGCGAACATCTTCGATTGACAATATCGGAGACTGCGGGAAGACTTGATTTAGCTCAAGAAACATATTTTGGGAGCATAGTCGCACATTAGTATTCTAAAAGCGGGCTGAAATTTCCCGTAGATCTATTATGTATTGAAAACTTTGCTTGCATTGCATTGCATTGCTGAAGTAACAGCAGATATATAAAAAAGTAAATATTTTGCTGATCCAAGATCCAAATGCGTTTAATGTGTTTAACGCTTTCATCTTAGATTGTGTTCGTCTGCCATAACCGTATTTTTTATTCGATAGCATATTGACGATTTTTCCTTAATTTTAATCACATACATAATTTACAAATAGTTGTTTCGTGGCAATGTCGATGTTAGTTGTTATTGAAATTGAAGTCTTACTTTTACTTTTCCGTCTGAGTCATAAAGATTCTTATTGCTTTATAAAGAAAAATTAACTTTCACTAGTCTTCTGTTTTCTGACCGCAAAAATCGCCAAATCAAGGCTATTATACCGCCTTTTCATAAATTCCTTTTGATAAATGAAAAGATGATATTATCAACGATACCTATGGCGAGCATTGAAATACAAAAAGAATTGTGATTCAACTCCCGCACATATATAAATACATACATGCATACATACATATATATATATATACATATATATATATATACATGCATGAATTCGTGCAGACATGAACGTTGCATAATTAATTTAAAGCACCTCATAAAAACGCAAATTAAGATTCATAAATACCCTTTACTACCACCAAATGCGTGAATGCAGCAAATACGAAGTACATACAAAACATGGACATGCACAACAATAACTATATATATATATATATATATATATATATGCATATATGTATACATTTACACGTATATACATATATATATATATATATGCACTTATGAGGCGATCATGCAATCGTTGAACTGAAAAAACTCATTTTGCATAGTTTTTTTTTATCCGTTTTCGAAGATGATATTCCAGCATCATGCCACCTACGCATAAAATACATAAAGATCAACGTCATTTTCTTTCGGAAGATTGGTACAACACAAAAATTCATGAAAATATCATGGTGCTGGCAAGGCAACGGTAAAGCGTTGTGGCAGCAATATGAACGAAACAACAACTCCTGATGTTTAACCGCAACTAATTAATTTCGACATTATGTTGACGTATCGCTTGTGGGGGGAATTCGAACCGTGCAGACCCGAAGGCAATGCTTTTTTCTTTGGTTTTTTTTTTTGTTTTTTTTTTTGTTTTTCTTTTATATTCATCTCATTTCATTGCTGCCGATTGTGTGTGTGTATTAAAGAAAGAAGGGCAGTGCGATGGTGAAGACTGAGTTTGGTGGATTGGGTGAAAGTCTGTGCTGTGCTGACAACAGAAATATCATTAAAAACCTATTGACGCGCAAACGCAACGGAAAAGAGATTTGCATAAATTCTTGCTGAACGGAACAGAGCAAAAATATTTATTGGATTTTGTTATCATTGTGCGTAAATTCGCACTTAAATCTTAAACATTTAAAATATCTGTCTATCTGGCTGTTTGGGTTGGACATGTATGTATATATATGTACTTATATATATATATGTATGTATTTATGTATACAATCATTTCGCCAAATCATACAAATTAATTTTTATATTTAATTTTGTTGTTATTGTTGGTGTTGTTGTTATTTTCCTTTTCTTGTTTTATTTATCACATCGTCGTTTCGAGAGATTTGCGATAACCGTTAAGGTGCTTACAATCAGCAACCAAGTAACCAACAGTAGTTGTAAATTAATACTCACTGACTGCCCCTTTTCTTCTTTTCGTTTTCAATGACGGTTCAACCGTTCTGTCGGATCGAC